ATTGCAAGAACTCGATGTGTTGAAAGTGGTTGACGAAGAACCTCTGTCATTAGCTGCTACGGGTTGGTCTAAGGCTGAACGTATTGCCAAATGTACAATTGTACAATATCTAACGGATACTCATCTCAAGTATGATACACCTGGTAGTACAGCAAAGTCCATCTTGGCAAATTTAAACACAATTTATGAAAGCCTAAGTACGGCCACCGAATTGTCTATTAGAAAGAGGCTATTAAGCATAAAAATAAGAAATGACACAAAATTAAAGGAACATTTTGAGACATTTGACAAATTAATAAATGAACTTTCGGCTGCAGGAGTTACCGTGAGGGAGAATGAGGTAATCTCACTTCTCTTGTCAAGTTTACCCGAGGCGTATAGTACAGTGTCGGTTATCATCGAAACGATGATGACAGAAACCAACGTTACCCTGGACATTGTGAAAAAGAAACTACTTGATCGTGAGACAAATATTAATAGAGAGAGAATGGACACTACTACAAAGGTGTTGCAAGTTGAGACTCCAGTAACAAGAAATTCTAAGTTGAATCATTTTAACAACGTAAGGTTTGAAGGAAGCAGACATAAAAGTCAAAATCGAAGAGAAGCAGGTTTTAAACAGAACAGAAATTCATTTGGTGGGAAGTATCACCAGTGTGGAAGAAAAGGACATAGAATGAAGGATTGTTTCTACTACCAAAAAAACCAACAATTCAAAATGACGCAGAGGAATAAAAATGTGCATACTGCTCAGACGACAAGAAAGACAACAGATGAGCATATATCTGGATTTGCCTTGGGGATTATCAAGTCACCCGAAAAAGAAAACTAGTTTTCAACCTCGATTCTGGTGCGTCGGATCATTTTGTGAACGATGATAGCATGTTCTCAAGTGCGGTCGAATTACATCCTCCCATTAAAGTTTTTGTAGCGAAGAATGGGGAATTCGTCACAGCCACCAGGAAGGGACAGATACACGTGACGAGTAACATGGGTTGAAGTGGAGTTCTCGAAGACGTATTATACTGCCCGGACGCATACAACTTACTGTCAGTGAGGAAAATGCAGGAGAAAAGGATAAGTATCATCTTCGATTAGAACGGCGTGGTAATCGCTAAAAATGGTAAAACGGTGATAATATCTATAGAATTAGATGTTACAAAAAAGGTAAATTTAATTAACATCCAAGTAAGTAACAGTAAAAATGATAGTTATGAATTATGGCACAAGCGTTGAGGGCATATTGGAAAAACAAAACTTTTACAGTTGAAAAATAAGCAAATGATTCAGGATATGTGTTATGACCAAATTCCTCAATTAAGAGTCCTCTGGTAATTAGTTGCTGGGGATGAGGAAGAWGGKATTMGAATAAAATTAATCAAACACGTGGTTGAGCCAAACAAAGAAACAATGCCTTTTTTATTGGCTCGTCAGGGAAAAGGCTTGCGGCATAAAAACCCTGGATGATATTTGATTATAACAATGA